GGGTTTCGGGTTTGGGGGTTTTTGGGTAATCTACGCTTTAGGGTTTTGGGTTTAGAGTTGAAGGCTTTTACCTGCGAACCCAAAGCCCCTCACCCCTGAACCCTAAACGCAAAACCCTAAACCCAAAGCCCTAAAGCGTAACCCCGAAGCCCGCAGACCCCATCTCGAAAGCCCTGAACCACGTTTCTTGGATTCTTTTCTGGGCTCCTCTCATCCCTAAGCCCCATACCCTAAACCCTATTTACAAAATAATATGCACATATAAATATATACATTAGTTTAAAAAAGAAAGAAATATAAATGAATAAATGAATAGAAATATATATATATATATATATGCTTATATGTATATATATATATATACATACAGTTGGGTGAGTGTAAGGGGTTCCTGCTCGCATCTCAGAATCCGCCCTTCGACGAAGACCTGCTGCTGCCCTGCGATGGGCTCTCAGCACAACTCAAGGGTCATAGGGGGCTATAGTTAGAGCTACTAAACCCTAAACCCTAACCCCAACTAGGGTACTAAAAACCTTACCTGGGTCCTTGTTGTATACATGTTTACAATTTTGTTATAACAAGACCCAATTAAAGGGTTAGCAAGGATCACGTTTTAAAGCCTCAACATGGAACCAGCTACTGAATAAGTCCCATGATCCCCCAAGAAGTTTTTCAATAGGGTTTGTATCGGGTTCTACAGGGTGTTACGGTTGATGATATGAATCCTGCATTACCTTAAGGCCTTATGGACCCTAATCTCTGGGAATTATGGTATATTCCTTATCATGGGTAATGCAGGGTTTATATCATCAACCGTATGGGCTACAGGGCTAGTATAGGGGCCTAAATAACTATCTATACCATCTTGGGATTTCCTTATTATAATTATGGCATAATGGGCCCCAAAACCCTATTCGAATTTTTAAGGCCCCCACCCCTAAACCCTTACCATAGAAACCCCTTGTAGTAGCCCTTTAAAAGGACCCCTAGAAAGGAACCCTATCCTGCTTAATTATTAAGGCCCCTAAACCCTAAACCCTAAACCCTAAACCCTAAACCCCTAAACCCTAAACCCTAAACCCTAAACCCTAAACCCCTAAACCCTAAACTCAGCACCTGCTTCGGAAGGAGGGCCCAAAGTTGAGGATCCGCGAGTTCGGGGTGTAAGGTTCAGGGTGCAGGGCTTAGGTTCAGGCTATCAGGCTTCAGAGTTCAACCTTTGGGGTTTAGGGTTTAGGGTTTAGGGTTAAGGGTTTAGGGTTTAGGGTTTAGGGTTCTAGGGGCAGGATTTAGGATTTCTGGCTCAGGATGCAGGCTTCAGAGAGGCTGCAGGAACGCAGAGTCGACATCAGCCGATGGGTTCGAAGGCACCCGGAGCTTAAGCCCTAACCCTTAAAACCCTCAAACCCCAAACAGCGAGCCCTAACCACTGAACCCTAAACCCTTAACCCTTGAGACCGTAAAGGCCCGTACCTTAAGGCTTGGGGTTTCGAGTCTGCGTTTTAGGCCCACAGCCCTCGAGCACTTTCATATCGAAGCCTGAATACTCGCCAACATTAGTCCCTAGGCTTCCTTTTTTATAGCTATACTAGAAGCTACCCCAACATCCTGTTCTAAAAAATACTCGCAATTTTTTGTTCGTCAGGGTTCCTTGTTTTTCCTATACTAGAAGCTAACATACTCACTCATATTCTTCATCAGGGTTCCTTGTTGTGACTATACTAGAAGCTACCCCAACACCCTGTTGTAGAACATACTCACCTATATTCTTCATCAGGGCTCCTGGTTATAACTATACTAGAAGCTACCCCAAAGGCCTGTTCTAAAAAGTACTCACCAATTTTTGTTCGTCAGGGTTCCTTGTTATAACTATACTAGAAGCTACCCCAAAACGCTGTTCTAGAACATACTCACTCATATTCTTCATCAGGGTTCCTTGTTATAATTATACTAGAAAGCTACCCCAAAGGCCTGTTCTAGAACATATTCACCAATATTATTCACTAGGGTTCCTTGTTATAACTATACTAGATGCTACCCCAAAGTTCAATTCTAGAACATGCTGACCAAAGGGTTCTTTTTTTCTAACTATTCTAGAAGCTCCCCCAAAGTCCTGTTCTACTTATCCAAACCCCTTTATCTCAGGCGGTGATCATGTCCGCCAACGTGGGCCTGTTCCTTTGCGATGCTCTGTCGCTGACGGTGACCGGGATGCGAAGCTTCGGTTTCTAGGTCTGAATAACTGAGGAAAGATTTTCGGGGCCTTAATCATTAGCTATACTATTTTGGGGGCTCCTTATTATACTTATCGTATGATATACCCCAAAACCCTATTCTAATTAATTATTAAAGCCCCAATATTAGGTGCTTGGGGTTACCGGGTTTAAGGTTTTAGATCGTGAAGAGCAAGATTCAGGTCAGGTCTCTTCTCCGTCAAGCTTGCTTTCTGTGGGAGCTTGGGCGCAGGGACTTCTATGATCGTGTACAAAGACGCTAAGCTGTAAGCAGTGAGTCTCTAAGGCCACTCGCAAATCCTAAGCCTTGCATAACTACCAGTAGAACCCTATTCTGCAGCTGCCCGAAGGTGACGCCTCTGTTGCGAAAGCCTGGGGCCCAATGTCAAACTCAGAGTGTTGCCGCTGCTTGTGAAACCCGAGCCCTGAACCCTGAACCCTGAACCCTGAACCCCAAACCCTGAACCTGACACCCCAAACCATCAGCCGTTAGGGTTTAGGGTTTAGGGTTCATCTTAAGCCCTGAAGCCTTATGCAACCCTCGTACAACCTTTAAGACTATGCTCATATAGGATCCCTCCAGAAGTCTTCAGTGGTTTGAAGCCCTAATTGGAGGATCAGGAGACATTGTACGTAAGGCTATAAGTACCCTAATTAATTGGGGTTGTAAGTACTTATAAGCCTAGTTACTTTATCTATAACCGTAGTTACTAAGTTGCATGAACCTCTAAGTAGGCCCTCTACATCAGCGCTGAGGTAGGTAAGCTGTAGCCTGTTGGGGCTTGTATAGTCTTACTGTACTGTAAGAGGTCAAGGCTTGTTAACCCTAAACCCTAAACCCCAAAACCCAAAGCCCATAAACTCTAAACCCCTATAGACCCTATTAACCCTATAAGCCCTAGGCTCAAACCCCTACACCCTAAACCCCTATAAACCCTAGGCTAGGCTCAGCCCGCCAGTCTATAAAGAAGGCTACAGGAGTTCGGGTTTAGGGAATTTTAGAAATTAGGGTCCCTTTTGTAGGATCCTTTTTATTAAGGGGGCCGCGCTATCTTGGGGACCTGAAAAGGGAGCTACCCATGTCTTAGTGTCTTGGGGTTTAGAGTTCGGATTTAAGGAATTATAGGGGCCTGACTATTTGTAAGGAGTTCTTTAGAACGGTTCGTATCCCATTCTTACAGAAGAAACGGTACTGTTGTTATTGGCGTGATGCTGAATAATTGCCAATACTATTTTGGAGGTTCCTTATTATAAATCTACTGTAATGGTCCCCAAAACCCTATTCTAATGATTGAGGTCCCTAAATTAGGAATTTTAACGCAGTTCCTTTCTTTGTGAAGTTCGCTGCTAAGTTCGGACAACTTGGCCGTGCAGCTCGCGTACCCTCGCGCTGAGGTGAGGTTTCGGGTGATTGAACCGTTTTGTTGCGAGCTCTAAACCCTAAACCCTAAATTCTAAACCCTAAATCCTAAACCCTAAACCCTAAACCCAAGGGTGGATGGAAGGCCTATCTTGTATCTAGAGCCTTTTACTGTGAGACTTTGGGGTTTAGGGTTTAGGGTTTAGGAGTCTGGGTTTAGGGTTTGGGGTTTAG